GCCTTTCAGGATTTCTCTTCCTCAATAATGCACACTACTGGTTTCTCTTACATTTCTACTGCATATGAGGACTGATAAATCTCTGTTCTATTCTGTTTTTCTACTGCTACTAGTCTATATATTTACAGGCTTCTGTAAGTCACACCGAACAAATCCATCTTTAATCCACTGGTTACAGTGATGTTATTGTAACTCACAGCACTAAATCACTGGACATCTATATTCTTTCGATTCTTAAAGATTTGTTTTTGCATTGTTTTTTCTGCCTGGAGACTCCCTTGAAATGTCCACATGACTGCTCCGAATATATTTCCATCTAAAACTCAAGGCACAGCACATTTCTGTAAAGTGGTAAAGTGGGCTGAACCATGAAGTACAAAGCACTTTATATAAAACGTTTGGGTCTTCTTTTTGGGGTTCTTCTTTCTGGAAAAAGAAAATAAACTGTTATTGATCTCCCAAATACTCTCAATTCCCTTGTGACACTCAAGACTAAGGTGTTTGGACTGAGAAAGGAGCCTTTCAGGATTTCTCTTCCTCAATAATGCACACTACTGGTTTCTCTTACATTTCTACTGCATATGAGGACTGATAAATCTCTGTTCTATTCTGTTTTTCTACTGCTACTAGTCTATATATTTACAGGCTTCTGTAAGTCACACCGAACAAATCCATCTTTAATCCACTGGTTACAGTGATGTTATCACAGCACTAAATCACTGGACATCTATATTCTTTCGATTCTTAAAGATTTGTTTTTGCATTGTTTTTTCTGCCTGGAGACTCCCTTGAAATGTCCACATGACTGCTCCGAATATATTTCCATCTAAAACTCAAGGCACAGCACATTTCTGTAAAGTGGTAAAGTGGGCTGAACCATGAAGTACGAAGCACTTTATATAAAACGTTTGGGTCTTCTTTTTGGGGTTCTTCTTTCTGGAAAAAGAAAAGAAACTGTTATTCAGCAAAGACACATTGCTGTTCTTTTGAATGTTCTTTTCATCAAAGAATACTGACAAAAAAGTCTCAAAAGTCTAAAAAAAAAAACTTTTTTCAACACTGACAATAAAAATAATTATTAATATTTTGAGTACCAATAATGACTGAGCAGCAAACCAGCATATTATACTGATTTCTGAAGGATCATTGACACTGAAGACTGGAGTAATGGCAATATATTACATTTTAAAGCATATTAGAAATCCTTTTTTTTTTTTTATTGTAATAATATTTCACAATATAACTGTCTTTACTGTATGTTTGATCACATAAATGCAGAACATAAACAAGCTTCATTAGCTGAATCTTGTTTATTGTATTTACTTGTTTATAACAGCTATAGTTTGATGACACTAGATTTTTTTACTTTGAAGGATATAAATGAAAAAAAAGGACAAAAGAAAGAAAACAAGTATGCATACAGGTTTTACAGAACTTTTCCCTCAAAACGTAGTTACTGAAATATAACCCCTGTGACATCTAGCCACAACACTCCATTGTTTCCTACTATTTGAAAGGATAGTGATGCTCTGACAACTAAAGGAAGAGCCTTTCAATGGTCTGTTGTGAGAATATAAGCAGTAGCAGCACATTACGCAACCAAGAAAAATACTCGAGTTCTGAATTGCTAAATTTCCCAGGACCCTTTTTGGGAGGCGAACAATAGCTTAAGGCAAACATCAACGCCACGCCCATGGGGTCGATGTTGCTACAAGAGTCGCGAGCAACACTTTCACGCGTGTACTGCTGCACGCGACAGGCGCGTGGGAGCCTCAAAGCCACTACCGAGAGCCGAAAGCACAGCAGAGCGAAAGACCAAACGATTACATGCGTTCGGATATCCAAAGCCTGTTTTCATTTGCCGTCGCTAAGTGTAATGCGATGACTCGAGCTGAAACGGGTTATTGGGACAGCAATATTTTGTTATATATTTCATCCCACAGGTTATCAGGAAGTTTGACGTAAGAGTTTTAAATCTCGCATTTTTAAAGAGGATTTAAGGAAAGCGTCGCGCAATGTTGCGCTGCTTAGAATTTAACGTCGTTCGCACCGATTATTGTCAGAATGCGCGTGATTTTCTTAAGGATAACTTAATATTTTCAAATGTAGATAGTATAGCCAATACGTCCATTTATGTTATGATTCAGTGTTTTGAATATTGTCATCAAAGATCTTAGACGACAGTAGCCTATATGTGGGTAAGATGTGACTCTTTGGGATCTGCTGGTGGTGTTAATGAGCTGGAGACGGGAGGAATTGTGCAGCTGCAGTGAGCTGGAACAGCAGAGGAGGCGGTACAGACATCCTGACTCCATCCCGTGGAGAACTCCTCAACTTTCGGCCAACTTTAGATTGTTTTCTTGACATCATCATTGCTAGCTTTTTGACAGCAGACAGAAACGTAAACGTGACTCTAAAATACTGCATTTTGGGGGTGTAGGCTAGTAGCTAATGTCCTTCTATAGTGAGTAGCCTGTATTTAGTTCAAGTTTAGTTATAAATGGTTATGAATCTGCTTTTAATATGTCTGTCCGTCACTTTCAGGGCGCAATCGGTCGGGTCCTTTCGCGGATGCCAAATTAGTCTACTTTTTAGCGCCAACAGTCAACTTTTAGAGTTTTAGAAGATGTTTGAAACGATACATAGTTTATGTTATTGTGATAGCTTATGTATATTCTACAATATTTGATATTTTACGGGAAAGTATTGCAGCGACTATATTGTTGTAATGGTTACTTCCTCGGGCAAACTAGCTACTATGTAAACTTCTGTGGTCACTGAAACTTTTAAGACGCGATTGAAATGTGTTTATACTTGTGTGCAACATTCATACTTGTAAAATTCCACAGCTTTTTTTCTTTTAAAACCATGCAGTGATTAGCCATTCTGTTGAACGACCGACCCATTTAAAAGGCGCTTCTTCTTTTTTATCCATAATAGGCTAATACATGACTAACTGAAAATGCATTCTACCTCTGGCACACTGAGATAAAGTTGAGGTAACTTCGGGTCACTCTCTCTACATTACATATGTTTCAAAGTCTAGATTGTCTCAAAAGGGCGAGGAGTCGTCCAAGTTAAACGTAAGCAAAGAAATATGCAAATCGATGCAGGTGTGCGGGCCTCGGAGCGCAGGAGACCTGAGGTGACGATCTGAACTCCGATCTCTCAGCGCCCGGGCCTCATTCGCCCTCCGATCAGCTGAGAACCGGCGCTAACTAACTGCCCCCGTCTCCATAGCAGCCGCCTGGACGGCGCCGCGAGGACAGGCTGGAGGGCCGCTGTGAATGGGTGAAGTCACGGGGCTGGCGCCAGAGAGTCTGCAGGAGCGTGAGCTCGCGGCGTTGCTCTGTAGTGCTGCTTTGCTTGGTGCCAATTCATCACCTGTCAGGGATCACTCAGGGTGTCATGCGAAATGTACACAGCTGTGAGAACAAAAAGGAAGAGGGAGAAAATGGAAAGAGCCAGTTGCGGCAGAAGCGGACGAGCCTACAATGCTCTTATGTGTCGCGTTTGTAAGTCTTGCGCGCGCGGAATGCAGTTTTTGGTGCAAACATTTCCTTGAAATAGCTATTTAAAAATGTCCAAATGCATCGGCCTGAAGGAATTTTACAAGTGCTTCATTTTCTGAGGAGTGATAATGAGAATGTATAAGCTGCATTCCGACACATCAACACGATTGCGTCTCGACGCATCTCCGCAAACATCTGTTTAGTCGGATATGCACAAGCAACCAGGAAATCTCGGTCTCCATTGTTACTTAGCATGTGTAAACACAGCTTTTTTTCTATTTTTGCAACCACTCTCGCACTCGACTGCCAAAAAGGTTTCTAAAAAATGGAAATATAATCCGTGTAAGGATAAAAATATTCTTTCCAGTCCCAAAAGAATGCATTTTCACTTCACTTGCACTTGTGTTGTTTCAAGTTAAAACTTACAGTACATTCTCCCAGTCAGTGATTGCTGCATGTCTGACTATCAAAATGCTGCGCGCATTCCTGCACTAGAGAACAGGAGGATCTTCTACCATCACTATTACATCTTAAACGACCCTCATCACAGGCTTAAAGACTGCTCCCATAATCCCCCACAGTCATCATGTGTATAAACAAACATAAACATTAAGGGCACATCACCAGCTGCAGAAAGTGCAAACTTAAAACTGCTGGGACGTCCACAGCAAACACAATAGATAAAGAAACGGCACACACACACACACACACATACATACACACACACACACACATATATATATATATATATATATATATATATAACTAAGGTTAATTGAGTTAGTATAAAAACGCTGGCATCAAATTGCCATCTTTAGCCTATCTAAAACTAATGGCAGCATGCCATGATAATTCCACTGACCTCGAGGTAAATGTTGATCTTTTACACTGTGTTCACACAGGAAAAAGGGAAAAATAAAAGAAATAGGCTAGATTGAAGAAAATATGAAACGTGTTGAAAAATAGCACGCTGATTGTTGGAGATATGTTAAGTTTCATAAGCTGCGCTGTATTTTAAATATACAGATATAATAAAATCCATTCAATATCCATTAATATGGAAATACTTATGATGTATTGTAGGCTATAGGGCAGACTAACTCATGATGTCCATCATAACATAAATCAGCCTAAGCTTGTTTTGATACATTTTATCCGTTACACTAGAAACGAAGACGGAAAATGTGTGAAAACAACCTTACACTTGCAAGTCACTAATTCTCTTGATCGGAAACAGGTACACTGATTTGAGAAATTATCCGTGGAAGCTGAAGGCAGTCAGCGCCACCCTAAACACGCGCTTTCACTGGTTAAGAACGCGGAAGAAATGGGCGGGTTTATATCGCTCAGCGCAGCGGCCAATAGCGTTGCGCGAAGGCGATGACTGACGCGTCCATTCCCACAAATCAGCGCAATCCAAACCAGCGCGTGAACAACCCACCCAGCTGGGTATATATACAGCGATGACAGCTCGCTAATCCACTGCGTTTGCTTCAACAGCCCAGTGCGAAGAGGAGATCTCGAACACAAAAAGCGATTCTTCCAACGAAACCGTTTCGTACAGAGGTGTCGACATGAAGGCAATAAGCCCAGTGAGGTCTTTCCGGAAAAGTAGCGCGAATGTGATGGAGCACAGTCTGGGAATCTCACGGAGCAAGACCCCCGTGGACGATCCCCTAAGTCTGCTGTACAACATGAACGACTGCTACTCCAAACTGAAGGAACTGGTGCCGAGTATACCGCAGAACAAAAACGTGAGCAAAATGGAAATCCTGCAACATGTCATCGACTATATCCTGGACCTGCAGATCGCACTTGACTCGAATTCGGCAATTACCAGCCTGCATCACCCGCGAGCAGGGCAGGGGACATCCAGAACACCCCTGACAACACTCAACACAGACATTAGCATCCTCTCATTACAGGTGAATGTCCTTTAGAAAGATTAGTATCTATCTATCTATCTATCTATCTTTTTTTTTTAATGTGTTATTAATGCGTATGGTAAAGCTACATTGATTTGTTGCATGTTTATGTGCAAGTTTGATTGTGCAAATAACTGGACTTAATAATATACTTAATAAATAACTGTTTTTTTTTTTACTCTTTAGACGCCCGAGTTTCAATCAGACTTGATCACAGAGGACAGCAGGACACTTTACCGTTAATCAGGTAAGTGCTCTTGACCACACTGTTTTTAATGAGCCTCGTATTATATACTGTAAATGATGTATGCAGTCAGAGCAGTGTTTAATTTTAAGAGCATCTAATCAAATTTGTTAAGGACCATTATGTCACATAGTCTGTAAAGTAGTATAAAGTGTGTAATAAGCATCAGTGGAGGTTGAAATGCAAGCATTGAGCAAAGGCAGAAGTTGTGCTCGTGTACATCTGGAGCCCAGGGTTTTGCTCAGTCTCTGAGTGTTTGGTTAAATGTTCAAACTGCGGCTTCCTCTCTGGCGCCAGGCTGTCCGGATCTCTGCCCTGTTTGCATTCTCTAAATGCGCCTCTTTCTCAATCTTTTGCAGGTGTTTGGTTAAGACACATGAACACACAGGACCTGGGAACTGGCTTTTCCTCCAATTTCTGTTCTCAGTCTGGAGTTTTTTTTTTCTTCTATCTTTCCTGTAATTGAATCAAGAGACTTTTTTTTTTTTTTTTTTTTTTTT